AGGTCCTCTGCAAGAGCAGTTAGTGCTCTTAACCGCTGAGCCATCTCTGAAGTCTCAAACCTGCATCATTTTCAAATCACTATTTTTTTTAAATTTTGCTATTTTTTTTTTAAATTTAATAACCACATGATTAGAAGAAGTATTTCGTTACAGCTTTAACATACTCAGTTACATACTCCAGAGTAAGGATACTTCTCTTTCAAAAGTGGCTGTAAATTTTTAGGTTCACAGTTGAATTAATATAGTTATACAATATTGAACTCAGTATAAACCTTGTAAGATATAAAATTGAATGAGTTTTTACCCTTTAAAGAAGATCTCCATTTCATTTTAAAATATAGTGTTTCCTACATTTTTAATGCTACTCTTAGATGTTTGCACATGTGTCTTTAATTTCTGTGTATCTAATGATTACTAGTCACAGTCAGTTACGCTCTGATCCTTAGTACCTGAGTATGGATAGATTTCACTAGCAATGTTTATCACCTCTACTATTTAACATGAAGTAAATTTTTATGCTTCCTCCTCAAATCTGTTTTTTTTTAAATTTGTTGATTTTTCTGTAGGTCTGGTGGTTTTACATTTGTGATGTTAGCAGGCTCAGCATTTTCGAAGTTTATGCTTAGATATGTAGCATTAATCACCCCAAGCTTCGTCTTCGCTGTGCTTGTGAATGGTATGAACACAGAAAAGGGTTGGACAGTTTCTGACACTTCTGTGAACTGTGTACATGCACCATCGCCCTCCTCTCTCCTGGAAGATTTTAGTTTTTTAGCAGATTGTAAGCTTGTCTTTTGCATGAAGCTTAAATAAATACTGAAAATTGCATTTTTACCGTTTATGAGACTTAGGGAATTAAGCCAGAAAAGCAAAATTGCTTTCTCATTTCAGTACTATATCATCATGATAGAAATTTCTGAGCAGGCATCCCACCATTCCTGTCTCGTCTCTACCCCCAACCCCCACAAAAAGGTTAGAAAACAGGTACGTTGACGTTCTGTTCTTGTTTAAGGCTCTAATAGGTCTAGTTAGTAAGTTTCAAAAAGGCATCAGCAACATGTGTGTTGATGTTTTCTGGTCTTGTTATTATTCCTCTGTTCATCTCAGTCTAAGAACCCATGTCCACAGCAAGTGTAAATTCTGCCCTATAGGAGAGAAAACCTGCCTTGGCTTGGTTGAAGGGAGTTCAGCGTGCCCCTGTTCTCATGCAGCGCCACCGTATTCCTGGCTCCTTTCTTCGGCCTTAGTTTCTCATCTGTAAAATGAACCTTTTCTTAGAGTGCAAATATTCTAGGAACTCATGATTGAAACCGAATCCTGTCAGTTCAACGTTTTCCTTTAAATATATCTTTGGACGTTTAAATTTATTTTTTAAAGCATTGAGCTGCTGAATCACTTTGAAACAGCACTTGCAATCCCTTTCATTCTGGGTTGTCACAGCATCTTTTAAATATCCAAGGTTCAGCTTTAGAAGCTAATTTTCAAATATTTCATCCTGGCCAAAGTTAGCAAATACTAAAAACCCATATTTTGATTAGGTCAATTGGTTAAATTCCAGTACAAAAAATACTATCTTGGGGCCTCTCAAGATGGGTCAGTGGTTGAAAGTACTTGCTGTAGAAACCTGATGACCTGGTCAGTCCCTAAGAACCCGTGTAAAGGTGGAAGGAAAAGAACAGACTCCACAGAGTTTTCTTCTGACCACCACATATACAGCAAGACATGGGCTACCCTGCAATCATGCACATATAAAATAATAATAAATAGATAAAAATGTAAATACTCTGTATATCTTGAATCTCAGAGGAGACTTCAGATGCTGGACTTTCGGATAGTGTTGAGACTATGAAAGACTATGGGGACTTTTAAGGTTATACTAAATGCATTTTGCATTATGATAATGGTTGTGAATCTATGGGAACCAAGAAGTGGAACATGGTGGATTGAATGAGGTATCCCTCATAGGTTCAACTTTTTGAACCCTTGATCAGTTGGTGGTACTGTTACCAGAGGTTCATGAAGTCTGATCTTCCGGGAGGAAGCATGTCAGTGGTAATGTGCCTTGAATGTTCATAGCCATGTCCCGTTTCTAGTTTGTCTCTCTGCTTCCTGTGCCTGCTTGAAAAGGTGAACTCTTGGCTTTTTGCTCCAGCTGCCTCCTGCCATGCCTCCTCACCATGATAGACTTATTCCTCTGTAACTATAAGCCCAATAAACCCTTGTTTCTATAATTAAATAATCTCTATAACTATCTCAATATTACAACAAAAGTCAGTGTTTGGGCTGGAGAGATGGCTCAGTGGTTAAGAGCACTGACTACTGTTGCAGAGGACCTGGGTTCAGTTCCCAGCACCCATATGATGGCTAACAACCGCCCCAAACTCCAGTTCCAGGGGAATCCAGCACCCTCTTCTGATCTCCTCCGGCATTGCATGGCACAGGTGGACTTACATACATGCAGGCAATACACTCACAAAATAAAAAGTAAATATATTTTTTTAAAGTGTTAACATCCTGTCCCTTTAAGGTTGCAAACAGAATGTCTGCTTGAAAAGTAAGCTTTAGGAATTTTTTTGTAGGGCTGGAGAGATGACTCAGTAGTTAAGAACACTTGTTCTTGCAGAGGACCTGTGTTCACTTCCCAGAACTGACGTGGAGGCTAACTCCTGTCCTCACTCCTTCATGGGCACCAAACACTCATGTGGTACCCTTATCACTTAAAACACTCATGCACATAAAAATAGATCTTAAAAAAGAATTTGTTGCATTGAAATTTAATTGTAATCTTACATTCTATGATTCTCTGAATCAAAGAATTTATAACAAAGCTTTGGAAGCTCAAATTAACAATGATGGTTTTACCAAAGTCCCAAGTCTGCATTTTTCTTTGGCCTGAGGGCAGCAGCTCAGCTCATGCTCTAACCCAGGTAAAGGACATGTACCCTCTTTTTCTCCAGCCTTTAATGATGACGCTAGCAGCATCCAGAAGTATCCTTGTCAGTCTCTCTCAGAGCTTATAGAACAGCATTCCTAAACAACAGAAGTTCCTCTCCACTGTGAGCAAGTTTAGACTGAGGACCTCAGTGGGGAGCATAGTTACAGTCCTTGTCTGTGCTCAAGGATCAAGATACTAAGAGAAAGATGGCTCAATGGGTAAAGGTGCTCGCTGCACAAACCTGGAAACCTGAGTTCAGTCCTTAGAACCCATGTAAAGTTGGAAAACAGAACCGACTCCACAGAGCGGTTCTCTGACTTTCATATGTGTGCCCTGGCATGCACGCACATACACATCATGCACACACACATAAAATGATAATCATTTTTTAAAAAAGAAATAGCTGCCTCTAGTATTTTTTTGTTGATGAAAAATGAGTTCAAATCTCAGTATTTTCACTTAAAATTTTGAGAGTAAAATTGGTGATCCCTGTGACACTGTCTCAGCACGCTTGTACTCGATTGGCTTTCCTTGCTCATGCCTCATCAGCTTTCTTTGCCCCTCCATTTTGGGCTTAGAAAATATGCAAAAATTTGAATATTATCTTCAGCAAAACATATTGGAAACAACAGGGACTTTGAACACTATAAAATCCATGTGTTTTCACATCTATAGCTCTACAGAAGTAGGTAATGTTGATAAACAAAGGTTGATTGCAATTCTTTATAAGGTGTGCTTTGTTTCTTCAGCTTGGTATTGTTAGTGTTGATGCCGGGTGTTACAGGCTATGAAGCTTGACATACCCAAAAGAGAAAGAAAGTGGAAACGAAAGGAATTTGGTAAGACTGTTTTTAATGTGAACTTTTTGTTTAATGCAGCCCAGAGGATTTGGCTACTGCATATAACAACAGGGGGCAGATCAAGTACTTCAGGGTGGATTTTTATGAAGCCATGGACGATTATACATCTGCTATAGAAGCCCAACCCAGTTTTGAAGTTCCGTATTACAACAGAGGGTTGATACGTTACAGGATGGGTAAGGGTTTTTGCTTTTCTCATGCACTATATATATGTATATTCTGTTGCTTTTGAGCCCTCAACTGTTATAAACGAATGTAGTAATCAAGTTTGAAAGTTACATGAAATGTAGGATTTAACAAAGGAAGCATACCTGAATGTGTTTTAGGCTGTGTTTGCTAGCATTATAGATCACAGTGGAGAACTGGGGTGGGAATTTTGGACCTGGGTGCAGGAGCAGATATGACTCCATTATTCTGTGCCTGTGCATTCCCAACTGCAAAACGAAGGTAATGCAGATGGGTACCTGTGACACTTCCTGAGTTAACATCTTTGAAGACATATGAAGCAATAGAAATTGAGGTTTTTAGATGTCTGGATTAAAGTGACTTTGGGTATTTTTCTTGTTTAAAATAAAAAAGAAAACCTAATATTACTTAATTTTACTGAAACTCTGTAAAACAAGTGATATAGTTTTGTTGAAATTTTGTTATGATTTATTCTACTGCCCTGTTAAATCTGATAAACAAAGTGACCCAGTCATTTTATTTATTTTAATTTTTGTGGTGTTGAAGATTAAACCCAGAGCCTCATGTATGCTGTGCAAGTTCTGTACCACTGAGCTACACCCCTAGTCCTGCATATTTTTAGATGTAATTATTCCACAAGGACATATATCATTATTTTGGTATACCCATCCTTATATCATTAAGGGAAGAAACTGCCTTTGCTAGGAGTGGTCAAGAGCTCAGAAAATGTAGCAGTATGTATGTATATATAGCCATACTTTGCTGTGAATAATTTATAGACGTACTCAACTTCTTTTTTTTTTTCTTTTCCTCTTTGCTTTTGGGATTATGGTACAGGGTATTTTGATGAAGCTTTGGAAGATTTCAAGAAGGTATTAGACTTAAATCCTGGATTTCATGATGCTACTTTGAGCTTAAAACAGACGATTCTAGATAAAGAAGAAAAACAAAGAAGAAATTCTGAAAAAAGTTATTGAAAACTTTAACTTGTTGAAATGTTAATTCATGGTTTCTAAACCTGCATTTGATTGGTTGTACTTTTAAGTAGGTTTAAAATTATTTTATTTATATTTAAGGGAATGCACTTTAGAACTGAAACTAAAATGATATATTTATGTAAGGTTGTTAATTTCAAGTTGAGAAACTGTTGGATAGGTCTTTTAATACAGAGTAAATTAATATCAATGTATAAACAAATATATGTTGTTATAGCAAAATATTTAAATCAAATCAATGTGTGTTATTTTTAGTAAGTTTCATTTTTAGTACACTTTATTCCCAGCTTTAAACATTTTTTATTATTTTTATTTTCTGTGTATGAGTGTATTGCTTGCATGTATGTAAGTGCACCTGTGTCATGCAGTTCCCACGGAGGTCGGAAGAGGGTTTCAGATCCCATGGAACTGGAGTTATAGTCAGTCATTAGCTGCTATGTGGTTGCTGGGAATCAAACCCAGGTTCTTTGCAAGAGCAGTCAGTGCTTTTAGCTGCTGAGCCAACTCTCCAGCCCCTATTCCCATCTTTTTATTTGAGCATTATTTTTCATAGTCAGGAAAGTTGCAAGTAAAATACATGCAAGACATAGAAACTCTTCACCTAGGTTCATCAGTTAATGTCTCATTTGCTTTACCTATATTCTTAAAAAAAAAAAAAAAGGCTTTTCACTTGGGTGACTGAGGCAGAAGGATTGCTGTGAATTTGAGGGCAGCTTAGGTTCTGGAGTGAGGCCCTCAAACAAAACCAAACATTGTAAAACAAAACCCAGGTAAATTTTTTTGCTGAATCTCTTGAGAAAAAGATACAAGTATCACATCACCCCTAATATTTCAACTTGCGGCTTCCAAGAATAAAGATGCTCTCCTCTATAGCTACATGCCCCTAACGCCTAATAAAAATAATTCTGTATCACACCCTATATTCAGCCCATATTTACATTTCTCCAGTTATTTCCAGATAATTACATTGTGTTATGTCTCTGTATTCTTTTACTCTGGCATCATCCCCTGGTCATTTTCTCCCCCATAGCACTCTCTTTGAGAGCCAAACTGTTTTAATATATGGAACTAGGTTAGTGAGATAGGGCACTTTGGCTTAAAAAATAGGTGCTTACCCTTCAGGAGAACAGTTGGAAGGAATTCATCCTACACATGATTTTTCTCTAAAAAAGCATTAAAAAAATAGGCTGAGATTTAAGTATTGAATATAGTTTTTGTCTCTGGGACATGACTGTAATAATAGTCAATATCAGTATTTAATAAATGCTCATTATAAGCTAA